ACACATAAACGTATTTGATCATTTGCTTATTTTATTCCTAGATGGATATATAACCACACACACATAAACGTGTTTCACTATTTGCTTATCTTATTCCTAGATGGATATATAATCCCACACATAAACGTATTTGATCATTTGCTTATTTTATTCCTAGATGGATATATAACCACACACACATAAACGTGTTTCACTATTTGCTTATCTTATTCCTAGATGGATATATATAACCACACACATAAACGTGTTTGAATTATTTTTGTTTCTACACGAACACAAGTCGTTAGTCCTGTATCTATCTGGGTTCTTCTGTGCACAAGATAATTTTTTCTTGGAAATTGAACTGGAGCATTCTTGTGTAAGTAACAACTGCATCAATCTCTGTAAGTGACATTTGTACATGGAACCTAGTTATTACAGCAACCGTCTTCAGTCATGTTAGCAGGACTAATAATGTTCATGATCTACATTCATACTTGTAGAAGAAAAAAGAAACGTACATTTTTTAAGACAATCAATAATAAGCGAGATATTCTACTAAACGAAATTTGCATATTGTAAATAACAAGATAGAAAGATGTTAAATAGGTTATTAACATATAAAAAAGTGTGACATAAAGTCGTAAAGTCAGATAATATCTTGATCACTTGAATGTTCGCACGCTACAGTTCCAAAATAAATTCTGATGGTTGCCCGAAACACCAAAAAAAAGGAAAAGAAAACCTAGACGTTGGTTATACTACTATTGTTTTTATGCGGTTAACAATTTAGCTACGCATACAATCCCATCCTGAAAATGATTCATCTACCTTTCTATTGGATAACTTAACGATTTGATTAGGTTAGTTTTCTTTGTAACGATTATATACAGAAGTGAGAAATGTACAAGTCAATAACTCCACACATTTCTTCAGATGTAAAAGCCACTATATCTAACTTAATCTTTACAGTTAGGCCCGGCATGGCCAGGTGGTTGGGGCGCTCGACTCGCAATCTGCGGGTTCGAATCCCACCAAACATGCTCGCCCTTTCAGTCGCAGGGGCGTTAAAAAGGTGACGATCAATCCCACTATTCGTTGGTAAAAGAGTAGCCCAAGAGTTGGCGGTGGGTGGTGATGATTAACTGCCTTCCCTCTAGTCTTACACTGCTAAATTAGGGACGGCTAGCGCAGATAGCCCTCGTGTAGCTTTGCGCGAAATTCAAAACAAACAAACAAACAAAGTCTTTACAAAGTCTTCCGAACCGCTGAGTAGCCTGGGCTTCTCATAGATATACGGTCCAAAATACTTACATGTCAAAACATTAAATTTACAAACAAAGGTCTCTGCACCATCACGGCGTTTACTTTGTTGGCAGGACAGTTTACACGTGCGTCATTCATTACCAGTCTACTGAATAGTTAGTTGTTGTGAAGCGCAAAGTATACATGGGCTAACTTTGCTCTGC